TAATGCACTCGTCTGGATGTATGTTGCACAGCATTATGTTAAACCAGACTCTGGGTTGTTACCTATACATTTGTATTTAGCTCATGAATGAATCCTCTGTTCAAATTCACTGGGGCTGAATTTTATTATTAAAAAATAGGGAATGTTTCATTGAGTAAAAGAAAATTGTGTTAAAAGAAAAAACTATTAAGGGTATAAAGGAATTGACATATAAAATCAAATCTCTCACACACACACCTTACCTTTGCATCCTAAGACTAAAAAATAAACAATTTTATTTTATATTGATGAGATCACTTGAAAAATCAATCTTGCACTTGGCTACAGAGCAGTCTAAGCCTTTATAAGTTTGTTAAAAGTTTCCCATAGAAAATGCATTTTAGCATCTCTCAAGTCAGATATTGCAGCAGAAAGTCACTTATTACCTACATTAGGGCAATGAGCCCTGCTAGCAGTGGTCAAGTCATACGTACTTAACCACATTATTACTCTACTTCCTTTTCAACTTAGCTTGATGGTCAAAACTGAACCAAAAAGAAAACTCGAAGAAATAACTAGCAGTAATCACATTTTATCATGAACAGAAGCCTAACAAAAGAAGATACCTCAAGGTTGTCATATGTGAAAAGAAATAAGCCAAATTAAAAAAAAAAAAAGAAGATAAAACATTTAATAGGTATTATTTACAACTTTAGTACAAATTTTCAATTCAAGTAAACATTACAGGGTTTTTATTAATTGCTAATCACTCAATAAATAGTTTTTTCAGCCCCCATTCCCGATGACATGACTTCGGTATAAAGCAAATGCTTTAATACATTACTTATACTGATACACACACATCAGACACAACTTTATCAATGTCTTGAACTTCAGTAATTTTAAATTCTTATAGGAATTGCTTGGGCAGATATCCTAATTTTAATAATCTACGAGAACAAATTGAAAAAGAAAAAGGCAAGAAGTCTGAGAAGATTATGCTGTAACCAGTTAGTTGCATTGAGTCGATTCTAACTCATGGTGACCCTATGGGTATCAGAGTAAAACTGCTTCATAGGGCTTTTTTTTTTTCATTGTACTTTAGACGAAGGTTTACAGAACAAACTAACTTCTCATTAAACAGTACACATATTATTTTGTGACATTGGTTACCAACCCCACAACATGTCAACACACTCCCTTCTCGACCTTGGGTTCCCTATTACCAGCTTTCCTGTCTCCTCCTGCTTTCTAGTCCTTGCCCCTGGGCTGGTGTGCCCCTTTAGTCTTGTTTTGATTTATGGGCCTGTCTAATCTTTGGCTGAAGGGTGAACCTCAGAAGTGACTTCACTACTGAGCTAAAAGGGTGTCTGGGGGCCATACTCTTGGGGTTTCTCCAGTCTCTGTCCAGGACCCTCTATTGTGATCCCTGTCAGAGTAGTCAGTGGTGGTAGCTGGGCACCATCTAGTTGTACTGGACTCAGTCTGGTGGAGGCTGTGGTAGTTGTGGTCCATTAGTCCTTTGGACTAATCTTTCCCTTGTGTCTTTGGTTTTCTTCATTCTCCCTTGCTCCAGATGGGGTAAGACTAGTGGAGTATCTTAGATGGGTGCTCACAGGCTTTAAAGGACCCCAGACGCTACTCACCAAAGTAGAATGTAGAACATTTTCTTTACAAACTATGTTATGCCAATTGAGCTAGGTATTTAGGGCTTTTTTTTTTTTTTTTTTTTTTTTAGCATAACGTTTCCAAACTTACTTAATCATGGATCCCTAGTATTTATAATGGCTGATAGTACGGAAGTAGATCTGCAATCCTTTCTTGTAAGGCGCCTCTGAGTAGACGTGAACCTCCAACCTTTTCGTTAAGAGCCAAGTGTGGTAATTGTTTGTACCACCCAGCAGCCCTGGATTATTAAGTACAGTACCTAAAATACTCCGCAGTGAATACTAACATCTTTCGGAACCGGGGTGAGGAAATAAACTAGAGGATCACACCAAAAAGGCCTGTGTGGTGGCATCAAATAGACTACAAGTCAAAAAACACAGAAACAAATCCCCGAGATGGCAGCTGATCATTGTCTAGATTTTCCAGTCTGACTCAGCTGCTAACCTAGGAACCCCCGCAACGATTAAACACTGATTTAAAAAATAAATAAGGCAACTCCAATGTACTTAAAAAAAGAGAATAGCAGTGTGAGAACTTTACATATTATCAACTCAAAATCCCAAATCTCGTCTATGCTGTTTACTAAATTTGAACACCCAGGATCAAATAACATTCGTTCAATTCTTAATGTTCAACTACTTGCAATTTTTCTTGTGACCCACCTCCCCAAGTCAACCCAATCCTGCACATTAATACTTAACCAATGGATTCTCAAGAACAAACTGTGTGACCTGCACCAGCCTTCATTAAAATTCTGTTCTCTGTACCACTTATTTGCTATTTGTGCTCTAGAACAAGAAGAAACCTAAAAATAAGGCCTTTTCCCAGCACTGAAAGTAACTTTTGTGGAACTTACTTTCCCCCTGCTTTTCTGAAGGTTGCTTTCAAATTCACGTCCTTCTCGGGGAGGGAGGAGGTTATCGGGAAAAGAGCATCTGAATTAAGAAATCTTCAATTCCTTTCCCAATTGTACCCGGCAGTAGCTACATGAATGTTGGCAAATCACTCAACTTCTCCAAGATTATTACCCATCTTGCTTTCTTTCTCCCTTAAATTCTTACAAGGATTATGTTGTTTACTTCTTGTATTTGTCACAGAGGTAAAAATGATATGAAGCACATAAGTGCTACTGAAGCTGTCCTAAGCAGCTAAGGCCAGAAACACCATCTTTTATGACTGGTCAGCTATGCATACTGCCTGTGTGTCTCTGTGGGTCCCTAATATCTTTTTTGTCAGTTTTCAGATGAAATGAGATCAGTATTGTTTTGCTTTTGTTTTGAATGCCAAATCTAAGTCATCTGCAAAGTATCGTGATAGTGGCATTGAGAAATAGTTCTGAAATTCCAAAGGACTGATTGGTAAAAGGAGAGTGTTATGTCCTAAGCAAGATCATTATTGACATCTCAACTGTTAGCATTTAGTACTGGAATTCCCAGATCACACGAGGGCTAAGTCAGTATCACTGCTGCCTAATTCTATGACATGAAAGCCTCCTAAATATGACATGTAACGTGTTAAGATTTTCTAATTTGCTGTCTAGACTATCCAGTGAATTTTTTATTAGCAAAACCCCGATGTTTGCTCCCAATGGATTCTAGGCCTTATAAAATTATTTTTTAAATGTACAACAGAATGGTAATGCCTGTTCAAATTACTGACTAGGCAAGAAGTGGTGTGGGGAATGTATAGGAAAATCACAGAAGGAAGTAATCAACAATAAGCATGTAAACAGGCAAACCAGAAACGCTGCCCTGGGGCTTCTTGTTCACAGGGACACAGCGCTTTCCTTCCTGAGCCACAGCGAAGCAGGCGAGGCTACAGCACAGACTCTCTACATTACAACAGTGAGAATCGATAGCATGGGCCAGTATGAGTTTTCATGCTTGGTGCTTTTTGCCAGCTATGGCATATAACCAGAAAAAAGAAGCCATGATCTTTCACATAAGGTATAGCAAACAAACCAAACCCATTGCTGTCAAGTCAATTCTGACTCATAGCGACCCAATAGGACAGAGTAGAATTGCTCCATAGGGTTTCTAAGGAGCGGCTGGTGGATTCAGACTGCCAGCCTTTTGGTTAGCAGCCTGAGCTCTTAACCACTGTGCCACCAAGGCTCCATAATAAGGTATAGATAGAGTATAAAAATTAACCAGGGCTCAGAATGGTAGCAATGTATTTTACCAGTAGCTATAATGGTTGATTTTATGGAAGTAGCTATAATGGCTGATTTTATGACCCCATGTGTATTCAGAGGAGCCCTGGTGGAGCAGTGGTTAAGAGCTCAGCTGGTAACCAAAAGGTTGGCAGTTCAAATCCACCAGCTACTCCTTGGAAACCCTATGGGGCAGTTCTCCTCTGTCCTATAGGGTCGCTATGAGTTGGAATCAACTTGACGGCAATGGGTTTTTTTAAAAATTTTTTTGGGTGTATGTCAGAGTAGAACTGTGCTCCATAGGGTTTTCAGTGGCTTATGTCTCAGAAATAGATGGTGAGGCCTTTCTTCCGAGGCACCTCTGGGTGGACTCAAACCTCCAGCCTTCGGGGTAGCAGCTGAGTTTGTTAACTGTTTGCACCACCCAGGGACCCCACCAATGTATAAGGTATGCAATATCCAAGATGCAGTATGAGAATCTTTCACCAATTTAAGCTGAGGTTAAGCCAATGATACATGCTTCAGAATCCACACAGTGTATGATGCTATCTCCCATAGGATCACACACAGTCAAGGCTAACACACATGTTCAGAACTTAGCACAAGAGCCTACTGGAGTGGACAGTCATCTGGTTGACCTCTTTCCTGCTTCCAATACTGATTTTGTTTTTTCACCTGGTTTAAGTGGCCCAGGTACAGCTATTAATGGTCCCAACTACCTTTTAATGTAATTAATCCTAACTTTATGCATCAACCTTCAGGTAGATCACCAAAAAGTTATTCCAAATCTATAAAATACAAACAAAATGCAACAAAAAACACCACATACACACGTAAATTGAGCAACCATTTAAAATTCAGTGGGAGGGAACTACCTGGGCATGATCAGCTAGGTTTCCTTCCCTAAAATTCATACACGGAATCTGACAGGGGGCTTCCCTTACCCCTGAGAGAAAGCTTAAAACACACAAGTCTTGACTGAAACATACTTTGGTGGCGGAATAATAATCTTATTAGTAAGAGACACCATTTTCGTAAACTACACAAGAGTGACAGAAGTCCATGTGTTTTTTTCAGGGTGTCTTTAAATAGATGTCTCTTTAGACTGAGGGGTTAAACAAAAAGAGAACGTTTTCCTGGTAAAGCGATGTCTGCGGGGAGGAAGAAACACTCCACGGAGAGCAGCTGTAGAAGTCCCTCGTCATGTTTTTGCCAGCGGGTCAAACAACTGCAGCGCCGTCCTCTTGTCTTTGTCACTGAGCGTCACCCAGTGTCCAAAGTCCTTCTGCCCAGGGTCTGCCGGCAGCTCCACCTTTGCGGCTGAGGCACTGCCTTGTGGGAGGTCCGTATATGCCCTTTCAAAGCTCCTGGTCCCTGAGTCCAAAGGGTCGGAGTTCTTGGAAAGCCAGGCAGGATTCAACAGCTTAGGGTGATGGGGAAGGTTCCAGAAGGGATCCTGATAATCACCAAGGAGGGGGGCTGCCTCTGACTTCATCTCCTTGATGGCATTGGTGTCAGGGCTTGTGGCAGATGATGTGCCAAGAAAACCGGCCTGTGGAGACAGGGGGCCAGCGACTGGCGGGGGTTCAGGTGGGCAGTCCTGACTTTCCTCAGACTTTTCGAGGCTGCTGCAGCAGGAAAGGCCCTGGAGAAGCTGGCTGTTGCTCTGCAGAACCTGCAGGTGGAAGGCGGCCGGGGCTGACTTCTTCCTCCTTGGCGGGACCTTGGGCACAAGAGACGGGCCCTCCAACAGTGCTGGCGCGGCGGCTGCTGCCCCTGGAAGGGCCTCGTCAGACGGCGGCTTTCCAGGGCCTGGCCACCTCTCGGCACCTCTCCCAGGCTGAAATGTTCTGGGTTTGGGGACAGGCGGGACTCGAGGGGCTGCCGTGAGAGAAGGGGTTTCAACGCTTGTCTCTGGGGGCCCGACTGTAAAGTAGGCAGTCTGTTTTTCCGACTGTTCTTCCGGCGACATGGGCTGAGAAAAGGCAGGACAAAAGAGCATCAGTAAGAAGCAAGCACTCGGAAGCTAGCCTCAGAGAGCACTCAGGTCAGAGAGGAGGCTAAGCTGACATGCTAATGAACACGAGATTCCAGGATGTCTGGGAAGGACAAGTGAAGACCAGATAAGAAAAGGGACAGGAGAAACACACCAATCAAGGACAATAGAAGGTCCCGTGAAACAGGAACGTACATTTTAAAACCAGGGCCACAGTGAACAATTTGAGACTCTTTCAGGCTCCAGCAAAGGCTGAGAATTCACCCATCTCTACCAGGCTTGGGTGAAGTACCTCCTGTTACAGCAGTAAGCTAACTGAAGGACCAATGGATACCACTTTCTCCTTGGACCTTTTATTTAAATGTAGAAGAACAGGACATTTTCCACAAGGTCTTCAGTTCCTTGGTTCTGGTTCAAAATGATCACAAAGCAAAAACCTGCATAGTGCAAGACGAAGCCTTTGTACAGAAATGGCCCTCAGTAGCTTACCGTTACCAATCGCCGTGGAGTTGACCTTGACACATGGTGACCCCATGTGTGTCAGAGCAGAACTGTGCTCCACTGGGTTTTCAATGGCTGATGTTTCGGAAGTAGATCGCCAGGCCTTTCTTCCGAGGTGCCTCTGGGTGGACTCAAACTTCCGACCTTTTGGTTAGCAGGCGAGCACTTAACTGTTTGCACCACCTAGGGACTCTATCAGTAGCATAGCACTGGCATCTCTATTTCCCTTGGTTCTTTAGAGAACAAACAAACGAAAAAAAAAAAAATCCCTTCCCCAGTAGCCTTTGATTGTAACTCGTGTGTAACACGTTGGGAAAATGAATCCATTTCTGCACCTGGCTTTTAAAAGAAAAGACACAGCAAGTATAGGGCGAAGGAGGAGGAAAGAGACCCATTTTGAGCAGGAATGAAAAATAGACAGAAGGTAATGAGCCAAAGTGGGAGAAACAGCAACGCAGGGAATGCCAGCAAGCTCTGCAGAGAGCGAAGCACCAAGCAGCCGCTCACACTTCCTACAGGTGAAACACAGCACCACCTGTGATGACCAGGTGAGGGATTCCCGACCGTCCTGCCACTAGAACCCGAGATCAAACGGAAGATCCAGATGTCTCTATAGATGCCAGTCTCTGGGCTGCTACTGTCCTTACAAACTCATGTCTCTGAAGCAGCAAGCAAGGCTGAGAAGCCCGAGAGCGAGAACAAAAGACAATCTGCAAGAAAAGTGGCGAGAAAAGCTGTGGAGCCTCCAGACGACCTGGGCCGCTCAGAGCTTGCAAAGTCTGCTCACCTAGGGGCTGGTTATTGTTTCCCTATGCAAACGAGATCGACGCGCATGAAACCATGTGCACACAACGTAGACCACGCACAAACGGGGGATACTAGGATGCCTGGGGAAAGGCACAAACGGGGGATATTAGGATGCCTGGGGAAAGGCACAAACGGGGGATATTAGGATGC